AATAATTAGTGATGAAATAATAAATTAAGCATGTCACAAGTTATTTTGGATGGTGAAGCAATGTAGGAGGAAGCTAGGATATTATCGCTCAGCATCAATTAGAGCCTGAGGCTGTTGTTATAAACTGATGATTCTAGGGCAAATATCCTCTTGTGTACATCTGTAACTTGAGTAAAATTTAGATTTGTTTATAAACGAGAGAGAAGGAAACGGTGATAAAGTGCTATTGTAGCTGAAGGTTAATGACACAACATGAATGGTGTAACTTGTTCGCTGATTAATTTGAAAAAGAGTTTATGTACTGCATTAGGACTACTTCACTAAGATCTATTTGGGAACTGTCATTAAGTCTTGGCAGGTATTCTGCATTATGAGCGTTAATTATGCTGAGACTTCATTTCAATATGCATTGCAGTAAGCAGCCTAAAGTAAATGAATGTTAATTTATCTGCACTATTACTATGCAGGGTGTGTGTGAAACCAAACTGCTAGAGTTCCTGCTCTATCAGATGATGATGATCCGAGGGGCCTGATGACACTGTGGAAGTGCATTGAAATGTTAATTACAGTGAACCTTGGTTTATTTAGTTTTTTTTCTCATGACAACAGAAGAGATTCTTTTCCTCCAACCTGTCATATAGAGCCGACTTTAAGCTTCCAGAACAGTGGTTCTGTCTTGTTGGGCATGGGGGATCCCTTACTGCTGTTTTTTCAAACCATCTCCCTAATTTAGGAATATTTGTATTAATTGGCAAATGCAAACTCTCCCCTTTGAGCCAGGTGATACTGCTCTCAGAGTCTAGGTTTTGGCTAGAGTTTAGCTTTTTAGACTGCACAATATCTTTTCACTAGCCTGCGTTATACAGATTATTGAAAACCTTTCAGAAATAGGAAGAACCTGTTGTCAGAAGGATACCATCTCAGGAAATGTTGTGAAAATCCTTGCAACCTGCTGTATTCCAAAAACAGAAAATAATAATAATTTTCTCGCCAGAAGTAACTCTACTAGGATTGACTTTAGTCCTGAGTCTTAAGGATACTTCTGAATAGGTATTAATGTTTTCCCTGTTGAAATGACCGAGAAAAACCCACGCACATGCGATGTGTGTGTAAAATATAACTACTAATATTATTTGTGTATCCTATTGTCTCTGTCCTGTTCATCCTCTGTTAAGTGATGAAATAGCTTCAGCTGATCTGATGCAGTTGTGAACAGAGCTGTGTACAATAGAGAAGAATATAACTAATCTTGTTCATTGGTGTATTAGAAAATTTCAATGTTGAATCTGTTTTTCTATAAGATTGGATTTGAGAACAGCCTGTTAGATATGGAACTAGTTGGATTTTTTTTATTTTTTTTTTTTGGTAATTCCACATTTGGCTCAAATTCCCTGTTTTGTTAACCTGTCGTCAGTTGTCACTTTCAGATATTTGTTTGCCCCTTGATGTTTGTTATGGCTAATAATTAGAATTTGAAAGAAAGTTTGCACGTCTCCAATTTGTAATAATGACATCTAACATTATCCTTCACTAAGTTCTTTTATATGACATTTACTAAACTCACTGTTTTAAAAGACACATTTCCTCCTTGCTTTTAATATTTTTGTCCTTTTCTGGTCCTATGTATATTACTTCTTAATCCCGATGTAAATCACAAAAACAAAACAAGAATCCATCAAGATTTTGAATTGATCCATTATTGCATACGTGTTCTATCCCGATTCTGAATTCCATGGACTCTTATCTACAGCTAGAATCCATACGCAGGATGTAGATGGATTCAGAAATCCTTCTTGATTTTCAAGAAACTGCTAGGTCAGTTTTTGCTTTATTTTTCAAAATATTACCGATTTTGGGTCCAGTTAAAATGGTACACTGAAATACTTGCTCACTTCCTTATCACCTCTTTTTTGTTGTTGATGTCTTATCTTAAATTGCAGTCTAATCAGAATACAGCAATCAGGAAGCTGACACAGGCTGAACTTTCAAGTCCGCTTACTCTAGAGCTATGTGTTCTGAATTGAATTCCTGTGAAATCTAGTATTGATCTAAGGATGCTTTCTGATGGTCTGTTTCATTAAGTGCTAGGACATGAGATACTGTCTTCTCTGTGTACTACAGGCCATGCTTTGAGATCAGTGTTTATTCCAAGATGGAGGTAACAGTTTGCAAAAGCACATGAACATTTGGCTGGTGGTAATGTAGAAATAAAAGCTGCTGAGCAAAGACTTGCTGTTCTTGGACACAATGGAATACAAATCTATATTTTTGCATACTACTACCATTACCTTAATGAGTTTGTGATCATTTAGGCTTTCCACTGACTTAGATCAACTCTGATTGCATGCTTGAGAAAAACTTGTATGTTTGCAAGATTCACAAATGATAAACTGGCTCTGGGCAGAGATTTGAGAATAGGGCCCAGGGTGAATGATTTAAATCAAATTGATTTAAATCACTAGTCAGGAAGACTCGATTTAATTATGGTTTTCTACATAAAAGTGCATTCTTGTTGGTTGCTATAACCTTAATACATATTCTTCACAACTCAGAGATAGATGTAGGTTTCATTTTTAGAAGGTACACACTATACATTTTTAAACAGTGATTTATTTTGAAAACTTTTCAGATTAGTTTTACAGCTATATCAGAAAATGAATGATTGTTTTGTTATTTCATTTACCAAAGGTAATTGAAGCAGATATTTATGAAGTCATTGGGAGGTGAACTATCTCCAATTCAACAGGTTAATCATTAATATTGGGAGGATTTTCTTGCCATGCTGTATTAGGAGGAGAACATCACCAGACAGACATTTAAATTGTTCTATTTAACTAAAATAACGATGTTAAGTATTCTGGATTTTTTTTCTTCAACAGCAAACATATAATATTTTAACAAAACAAACATATGTCCCTCGCTTCTCACATTTATCTCCAGACTTCTTCTCCTTGTCCAGATCTATTCTGCCCCCAACAATCTTCTATTCATTGAACTTTTCAAAACTTTGCACTTTTAGAGAGAGGTAAGGGATTGACTCTGTGTACACAAATTTGCAGAGGGACAATAGAGTTGAGGTCTGTTATTTCTCCCCTCTATATATTATTTATTTATTTAAAAACATTTTTGCTCTTAACAAGCATGTTACCTTTGGAGACACAAGTCCACAGTTTGAGAACTGCAAAACTAAGCATCTCTGATTGTATCTTCTGGACTGAGCACTAAGTCCCATTGGGTAGATAGAAAGATTAACCGAAATAATCTATACAGAAGCCCCTGGAACCCTGTAAAATTGGGTCCCTAATCCATGAACTATTGGAACTCATTTACAAAACTTTTCTTAAACATTACATGAATATATTGTCTCATACTATAGAATTAGATTTTATAATCCCTATTCCATGATGAGATATCTTTGAGCTATAATGTGTCTTTAAATAGGGTTTTTTCCTCAAAAAGCATTTTATTAAAAAAAAAATGGATTTAAATAAAAAAAAGGATTTTTTTTTTTTAAAATCATTGATTTTTATTCACCCTGATGGGGCCCCTGCAGAATCTTATAAAAATGTAGTGCAAAAGGATTAGAGGAATAAGTGAGGCAAAATTATGCCTTTGTTCATGAGGGTCGGACAGTGGCTAACAGTAATCATGCCCAACTCCAATCCAGAAATGAAGGATTACTCATCTCCTTCCCCGCCCCCCATCTTTCCTCTCTCTTCACATCTCTTTCCCTCTCTTACACCAAAATTAAAGTAGGGAATAAACTGAGCTTTTACTCAATATTGCCCAGATGTCAGGGACCATGGCTCTTCAACCCTGGTCCTCAGGGCTCTTTGGTGCTAAGAGGTTCAACCTGCCACCTAGGGGCCTGCCAACTACTTTCAGAATAGGAGCTGAACTCAGAGAGAGGGCCCCAGTTGTGGGAGCTGATTGGCAGAACACTGGGGACCCTGATTGGTCCACAGCCGCTGTTTAAACTGAGCACAAGAACAGGAAGTTGTCCATCCAACTGGGATCCACCCTGCTCTGGATTGTGTGCTTTGTGCTTCCTGTTCCCCTGGATTGAATTCCTGATGTCCTGACCCTCCCTGACTCTGTTTATTGATCTGTGGTTCTGCTCTCAAGTTTGTGTTCTGCCTCTGATTTCCTGGTAACCTGACCCTGACTGCCTCCTGACACTCAATTCTCAGTTTATTCTGTTCCCTGTCTTGAACTCTGACCTCGCAGTATTTGACCTGTCCTGATTCCTGACTCCTGCTTTGACCACTAAGTCAGACTGCCAATGTCCTGGTCATGACACCAGCCCAAGTGTTCTAAAATCATGATTCAGGCCCCAAAAAATTGAGGTTGGCATAATAATAGCAAGATTTTTTTTAAATAATAATTTTTGTTCTCTTTATTTACATTCTGATTTTTGAATATTGAAGGTTCATGTCGTTAAATTTTTCTCCACAACCATGAGAGCTAGAAACTTAGTTTTAAAAAAATTAACACTGAAATTCTTAAGTGATCACATGACTCCAGGGGCTGGGGCTTTAGAAAAACATGAGACTTCAGATAAAATACAAGATTTGTGATAAAATCCTGAGAGTTGGCAACACTAAGGCCTGGTCTACACTTAAAATTTAGATCTACCTAGTTATGTCACTCAGGTGTGGAAAAAATTCACATCCCTCTGTGACGTAATAAAGCTGATCTAATTCTTGGTGTAGATGCATCTAGATTGATGGAAGAATTATTCTGTCAACATAGCTGTTGCCTCTGAGATATGGATCAATTACAGTGACTGAAAAACCCATTGCGTTGTTGTAGGAAGCATCTACACTACAGGCAGTGTAGCTGTGCTGGTGTAGTGTAATCGTAGCCTAACCCATGTTGGCATTGTGCAGCCATTGCATTTAGAACCTGTCATAATATGGCAAAGTTTTACCAGGATTAAATATGGAGTGAAAGTTGGAAAACTCTTGTATGCAGTGATATGTGTTTAACTTAATTTCTAGGTGATGGAGTATGAGAACAGGATACGAGCCTACTCCACTCCAGACAAAATCTTCAGATACTTTGCCACCTTGAAAGTAATACATGAGCATGGAGAATCAGAGGTTTTTATGACACCACAAGATTTTGTGAGATCCATTACTCCTAATGAAAAACAACCAGAACGTAAGTAATATATACAGTAATTATGTTTAGGGGCGATATATGTAATGAAGAGTTCAGAATACATTTTTTACTGTCTCTTTGTAGTCAGCTTTTACTTACCATTGTACAAATAGGTTGGCAAGGGATCACCTTGTATTTGTATATGTTTATGTTGCCTAGCACAATGGGCCCTGTAGATGCTGCTGCAATACAAATAAATATTTTCCTCTAAATGCATGTACTCGTGGATGCATAATATTATACAGAGTAGTAATAGAGTAAAAAAGTAATGATTTAGTTCAGCAGGTAATATGTTCAGCTTTTCATCAGAAGACTACAAAGTTTAAATTCCATATCAGCACTTGGGCTCGTATCCAGTACTCTCACTGCAGTGGAGTACTGCAGGATAATTAGGCATGGCAGAATTTAATTTTTATTTTTTTAGAATGTCAACAGATATCAATGTTCATTTTAGGCATTTTTCCTATTTTTAATTATTTAAATTTTCACAGTTGCAGTAAATTGGGGGGTTATGCCAGACAATAATTTAATGACAGTAAAGTTTGAGATTCAAAATTTAAATCTTTATAACTGTTAAAGCACAAATTATCAACATTGCATGTCAAAATATACAATATAAATATACTTAAAGCAACTCTAGTTTTCAAGCAGCGTTTTTCTTACTTGCATCTATATAAATTTCTGTTACCGACGGAAATATTTTTCATCAGTTTGTTTGTGTGTATGGTGAAATCGACGTTTACTGACATTTACTGATAACATTTTAATCCATCCAAGCCTAAGGATAATGGTGATGTATTACAAGAAATGACAGCTTTTACAGGAAACAGCATTTACAAAGTCCATCTATTTTCCTTCTGCCATTTCTTGTGGCTGTCCAGTTAAAAGTTAGATGTGGTATCACTCCTTAGATGGGTTAAGCGCTCCTGGTGTTCTGGCCAACATTTCCTTTTTCAAAACAAATCTTAATAATTTTATGCTAAATCTTGAAGTGTCATTCTGTTTACATTACAAAACACTAGTTAAATGTTGTACTTAGAGTGACTAAGAATACATTTTGACATACCTTGAAGCTAAAAATTGTTGTCTAAAATGGATTTCTGTTTTATTGTATCTAAGGAAATATCAGTGTCTCTTTGGTACATGCCCTTGTCAAACAGAGGAGATTATCTTCCTTTATGCTTAATAGTCAAAGACCATTTAAAATGAACGTGAAGATCTGTCCTGAACCTACAAATGGTGAAAACATTGGAAGTGGCAGCAATTTGAAGTAAAGCTGAATAGCAGCCCCATAGTCTGTCAGGCTAGTCTGTTCTGTGGTATTGCAGGAACGCCGGACTTCATTCCACTGCTAACTTAAAAAAAAGTGTTGGCAGATGTCATCTGAACGTGCTCAGAATGTATTTCTCCATCCCAAAATCGTTAACTTCATTGTCCAAACAATTTTTCTTCCAAAAGTCATTGTGGATGCGCATCCCTTTGAGGAATATTTACATGCTGAATTTCAAAGCTCAGTTTTTAAAATTATATATGTGGGGAAAAAGTAGGGAAAAGGTACTTCTCTTCCCCACCCCCACCCCCATTAGCCTCATATGTAACTCACTGGTACAAATAGATTTTTCTCAAAAAATTTAAATAAAAAATAACCTTTTAGCTGAGACTGCACATGGAAAACTTTAGCCTCAAATGTTAATTTTTCAGGCAGTCACAAACAAATGAAAATGGGGTTATAATTGAAACTGTTTTGACATCTTAAATAAAGAGACTACCACCAAATGAATCCTGTATATTTAAATTTGTAAAGTGATAGAATAAACTATATGCATGAGGTAAGAAAGAAATCAATACTGTCCTGTTATGATATGATCAGATAACTTAATATTCACTCCTTATTTAAAATGCCGTGAACTGGTTGTGGATTTTCAAATGCGAGTACATGAGTTGTTATTTTTTTGGTACATAGTAAAAGAAAATGGGGTGCATTACTAGCTAGTAGTCTGAATGTTAGTAACATGGTTTTAATTCCAACATCTTAAGGTATTAATTCTATTTACAAATCTATTTTAAAAAATGTAATACCTTGTTGAGACATGAGATGCTAAAGTGTCAGTGCCTTTAAAAATGGAAACTTTGTCAGGCATATAACTGTAACAATGCTAGCAATCTCTCGTGTATTCTGTGTGATATAGTCATATGGTTTGGTTGAAAGTGTATGTATACTACTTTCAGGATGGTGAGTGGTGGGTGGCAGTTTGTATTTTTAAGGAGCACTGACTTCAGCCAGGTCTACACTACACACTTAATTCAGTATAACTACATCATTCAGGGATATGAAAAATCCACACCTCTGAGCGGCGTAGTTATACCGACCTTATTCCCTGTGTAGACAGCACTATGTTGGTGGGAGAGGTTCTCCTGCCGACACAGCTACCGCCTCTTGTGGAGGTGGAGTTATTGAGCCAATGCAAGAGCTCTCTCCTGTCGGCTTAGAGCAGAGGTTCTCACAACAAATATTTTGGTGGCTTCAGAGCGCAGCGGCCAACTCTTGCTGGTGGCCACTCTGATGTATAAATGTGCACATATACATGTCCAAATCATTGTAATTTATTTATGTAGGGTTGTTTTTTGCAAACTTAATAATAACAATAATAACATACAGTTGTCTCTATTCTTTACTGCACCTAAACAGAATAGAAATAAAAAAGACGGTGCTTTGCATGTGCTTGTCTTGTGGTGTTGTTTTCTTTTGTTTTTTTTGGTTTTTTTTTTTTTTAGATTTGCTATCTAGTAAGTCTGCTGCTGTGAAAAGTGATATAAATATGTTTGTTAATACCATTTTTCACAGAATCAGACTTGCTAGCTAGCTGGGAGACAGTGAAAAGTGATATTAACAAACATACAAATATCACTTTTCACAGCAGATTTACTCAGCCCTGGCAAGCTGGGGGACAAATTAAGCCCTGGATGGGGAGGTGGCTAGGGAGGCAGCGGGGGCCAGGGTTGATGGATGGGGGCGCCAGAGGAGGCAGCGGAGGCCAGGGGCGATGTGGGGAATTGTGAGCCCAGTCCGGGAGAAGGCGCCCGAAGCCTCATGGCCGGAGCCTGCCGCCCACCACCCCAGGGCTGAAGCCGGAAGCCCGATCCCCACTGCCCCCTGAAAGGTGGGGAACTCACACCAGCTGCCTGCTCCTCCAGCGTTTCTGGCTCCAGAGGGGGACAGGACCCACCCAACCCCTTCTGGCAGCTCCGGGAGAGGGGCCCCTGCTTTCCCCCCTCCAAGCACCACCCAGGAAGCTGTGGCCACATGAAAAGCCCCTGGTAGCTACATGCTGCCATGGTGGCCGCATTTGAGAAACGCTGGCTTAAAGCATCTTCACCAGAAGAGCTACAGTGGTGCAGCTGCGCCGATGCAAGCTTCTAGTATAGACCTGCCTTTCTTTTTGTAGCTATTATCTTTCTGGCAAGCAGGGTCCAGGCGGTCACCTAGGGCACTACAATTTGGGGGGCAGCGACCGTGGCGGTATTTCGTGGAAGGTCCCACCGCCTCTGTTGGGGGCGGCATTTCGGGGCGGGACCTTCCGCCGCCTAGGGCAGCAGAAAAGCTGGCGGCGCTCCTGCTGGCAAGGAGCACTGCTTGGAGTATCCTTCAAAGTTTATCATTGGCACAGCTTGTCTGCAAGGCTATCTATTCAGTGACATGAAGCGCTCTACCAGGGTTACGGATATCTCCTCTGTAAAGCTTAGGGCCCTTGTTATATGGTAGAGTAAAACACTGAATGAAAATTGTTTGGTTTACATTGAGCAGGGCAGAAAGCTGTCCTTAGGTCTTACCTTGCTGGCCTGAAAACATATTTTAATATGACTGTCAAGGTTTGTTTTTTTTAAAGGCAAAAAGGTATTATTAGGTTTTTTCTTCCTCATTAAGTGTTCAAAATCACGATAGGATATTAGTATGTAAATTATTTGAAAGAATGATTTGATATATGTAATGAAGATTGGAGATGTACTCGTGTAATATAATCAAACCAGGTATAATTTTGTTTTCAAATGTTTTAAAAACTAATAGTAGGAAGGAAATATGGGCTAATTTTGAAACCAGAAGTCTTCACTAAAAAGATTAATGGTGACCATATGCTCAACACAATTAATACTAACAACAAGAGGAAAGGAATGCAAGTCAAAATAAGGCAAGTTGAGGGGATATAGAACTTCTTGTTCTTTTAAAATCTAAATCTAAAGATTTAAAATCTAAATCAAATCCAGGTTAGTTCCATTCCAAAAACAGCAGTTGTCCTGAGGATGCAGAGGAATACACGTAAGGTGGTCTCTCTCCTGGGTGGAGTGTCTGCCCTGGCAGGGGAGGAGGGTCTCTGCCTTTGTGGGGGTTGCACTCTTACCCCCTATCTAGCATGGGGCTTTGCCTGCCGTGAGAGCAGTAGCCCCTGTGACGGGTTGGATCACAGAAACGCCCTTGGGAGCTGCCAACTGATGTGCCAAGACTACCCCTGTTCCTATTTTCCCTGCCAGCTCGGACTCTAGCACCCTGTTTTGCTGAGCCAGATACTCCTGTCTGCTCCAACAAAGACCCAGGTCTGAATTACTTGCCCCAAAGCTGCAGGTTTACCTGAAAACAGCTCACAGAAGTGTGCTTGTCTATAGCACTCAGATGCCCAACTCCCAATGGGGTCTAAACCCAAATAAATCCGTTTTACCCTATATAAAGCTTATACAGGGTAAACTCATAAATTGTTCGCCCTCTATAACACTGATAGAGAGATCAGGGGGAGGGATAGCTCAGTGGTTTGAGCATTGGCCTGCTAAACCCAGGGTTGTGAGTTCAATCCTTGAGGGGGCCATTTAGGGATCTGGGACAAAAATCTGTCTGGGGATTGGTCCTGCTTTGAGCAGGGGGTTGAACTAGATGACCTCCTGAGGTCCCTTCCAACCCTGATATTCTATGATTCTATATGCACAGTTGTTTGCTCCCCCAGGTATTAATA